ACCCTAACCCTAACCCTAACCCTAACCCTAACCCTAACCTTAAAAAACCTAACCCTAACCTAACCCTAACCCTAACCCTAACCCTAACCCTAACTAGAACTATTCGGGTTTTTGTGACAAAATTGGTTTTTGCGACATCGCCGCACAAATCTCGCTTATTTACAGAGGGTTACGAAACTTCAAGAACAAAAGTTGTAGATCTCAAAAAGTTAGCTCTTTTGGGCCAAAAACCAATTTCCGGTCTGACCTAGTTTGGCGTCCAGAAGGCTCCAAAGTTTCATTTTGTCCCCAAAACCTTCATCTTTGGAGCTCAACTTTGAGAGGCACTGGCAGAGTCCGTATAAGTCGATTCCAGTGTTTTTTTCGAGATTCTGAATGCACCGATATTGAAGATTTTTTTGACTTCTGCCCCACTTTTGCCATCGAAATTTTTCCGCAAGTCAATTTTCATTGCTTTAGACTAGTCTTATGAAATCGAGACTCACGTGAAAAAACGGGGCTTTTCGATGCGCACAAGTGGTTAACAAGATTTTGGTGCTAGAACCCATATTAAGGTTTTTGGTTCATTTGCGCACCCAACTTTAAGGTCTAATAACTTTTGTCCTAATTGTCTGACAAGTCTGAATTTTCGTCACGTGGCAGACATTTTATGACACTACAAGCGTGTCAAGTTTCATTGCTTGCCCTGGGAAATTCTGGCTTTGACGGAGCTTCAAAGTTGGGAAAAAACGCTTGTGGACTTAGAGCATTTTTGGTCAATTTTGGCAATTTTTTTGGGCTGATTATTCTTGGCCTTGGTGTGCCAAGATGTTTGGTCCAAGTTTCAGATCGATCGGAGCATTTTGAAATTTTTGCAGAGTACTGTCACAAAAACCTTATGTCTCAAAAACCTTAGAGTCCTAGCTGGGGTTACTGTTTCTCGCTAAATTGCACGATTTTCGCCATTCTTTTTTTTGGGCCTGAATTTGCACGCTCTGTCTGGTCCGTAGCCTAAAATTCAGATCGATTGCATTGCTTTAAAGGGTCTCAAAAGCCTTTTCTTTTGTTAGAACCCAA